AGAGTACATCCCTGATGATTGGGAAGGTCTCACCTAGGGCCAACTGCTCTGGGAACTCTGTTCAATTCAATAGGATCATTTGAATCTCTACCCAAAATTAGGTTAAGGAGAGTGGTCACAGTAAGTTTTAAATCTGTACCTGTAGCTTCTGGCAGTCCTTTGAGCCTGATATTATTTCTGCTGCTGATTTTTTTTTTTGCTGTTTTCTATGTGAATCTGCAGGTGTCTAATGAGAGAGAGGTGGCCAGGAGAAGTTCACTCTAAAGCTGACAGGTGAGCTGCATGTTTTGTCTGAGTGAGAGTAAGGGCAGAGATGTTAGATTCAGGGGCTGTTACCTGCTGGCGGATAGTGTCCATCTCCTTGCGAAAGGTGTTTTTAATTCTCATAGCCTGGTTTTAAAGTCAGCATGTAATGACGGGGCAACCTCTGTGACCAAGCCCCCGGTGGGCGGGGCAAAATGCATAAGAGGGCATGGCCAGAACGGCGGTTGAGGCCATTCCTCAACATTGGACTCCTCGGGTCAGTTGAGCAGTGTCCATCCCTTCACTTTGAATGATGGGGCTGCTACAGACCTCTCCTCTGATGCTTCGGGAGCTGACAGACCCACTGTGTGAGTGGGTGCGTCAGTACTGGGAGCTCCTGTGGAGAGTTGTGCAGGCTTGTAAGGCAAGAGAGAAGTCTCAGCATGAACACTGTTGGCTGTCTACAGCTTGGCAAGGGTTTTTGCAGGTGCCATCTTGTCCCTTATTACCTGAGGCTCTGTTGGAGCTCTATGCAAGAGATAACACTGGATGGATCCCCACTGTGTCTCAGTGGCAGTAATGTTGAAAGTACTTTTACTGGACATAGGTCCTATGATAAAAGTGACCCAAAAGGCTAAAAAGAACCACTCAGGAAGCACAGAGCTCACTAACACACATCCTTTTCCCTCCATCCTCGGCCCCCCTGGATTGGAATTTTAATTTGTTTCTGTCTCAAACCTGGGCAATTGAAGCCGAGGAGTTGATAGAAAAACACATAAGCAAAGGGCAACTTCACTGATAATCACATGTCAAACCAATCAATAAATTCAGAGCAGGGGCGGACTGACAATTTGGAAACGCGGGCACTGCCCGAGGGCCCGGAGTCAGTAGGGGGCCCAATGAGATGCCCCCGGTACATTTTTCATAGGCTTTTTTGAGTTTGGGCAAGGACACAGGGGCCCCATGATTTCCTATTGCCCGGGGGCCCCATGAGTTGTCAGTCCGCCCCTGATTCAGAGATATAATTATCTGCAGTTATATTAATTTCTTGACTTTCATTATAAAAGCTATTGGCCCTGCTTTATTCCAAACCTCTATATATCCAATAGGCACCATATCACAAGAATGTACGGACAGGTGGTTTATTAACCAGTTAACAGTATTCCACCATCCTTTAGAAAGAGGCTGATTCCTGTACAATAGTATCTGCTCTTTTTACAGGTTTATTTTAAAATACTCCAAAAGATCTTGCTGCTTTGCTCAGGGCCCATGGAATGAGATTCCAGCTCACATGCTAGTCCAAAGTGTAGCTATGACTCCCCAGATCCATTTAATTTTGAAATGCTGAACACCTAACCTATTGTTTGAACTGGTTATTCTGAAAGGTAATAGTGATTTCTGAAATAAATCCAGTGATGGAGACTTAATCCAGAGATAACTTCTTAAAAACTTGGCACCCCTAGCTGGCTAATCATAGAGATTTGGGTCTGGGAGCCATAGAGTCCTATTTTCTAACAAAGCCTTTTTTTAAAGGAAATGACCAATAGTGATCTTTGAAGTGAGAGACAGCAAAGCTTAGTTTTACTTTTACAGAAAAAAAGACTAAATTTGCCTATAACATAAGCTTGTTGTAATTCTGGATTCAATGATTTTTGAACTGAATACAATCCATTTGAAATGCTTAGGTTTTGTAGATTTAATGTGAACAAACCTTTAATATTTTTAGTAAAGCCCTGATAGTACCCAGTTTAAGTCCACACTGTTTTTATAAAAATCCTTTAATGCACCCAATGTTATCTTGAGTACTAACTAGGTTATGTTATATTAAAATATGCATTATTTATGTTTTTTATTATTATTTTTTTTATTTTAAACCTTATTTACTAATTTCTCATATTAGAACCGCTTCTTTTTCAACATGGTTATCAATAGAATCCCAACCTGAATTAAAAAAAGAACAAAAGTTTGATTCCGATTGGTTGATTTGATGCAATACAAACTATTTTCATTTACAATCATTAATAATACCAACTGCCGTAATTTTAGATTGAAACTTTGGATGATGTGTCTAATTTTGTAGTGTACTCTTCTGATACATCTAGGACAAATAAAACTCATCCTATCTATATTATGCTATAAATAGAACGTAATTTCTTTAGGCCAATGCTTAGCCTTTTTTTTGCTTGCAAGGTTCATTATACTGTAGGTAACTGAGCTATGAAAAGACAATTTATTTTAGAGATTTATTTTATTAAAAGTCAAAATGTAATGATCATTCACAGTGACTGCTGAACAATAATCAACTTGCATAGGTCATGGGATTATTATTTTTTTATAAACACATATGTATTGATTTATACTTTTTCATTGAAAATGGAATCCACAACATACTATATACTGTCCATTCTCACAACTCTATTTGTTGTTTCGATCTGTTACATTTGACAACTGTAGGTTGGCTTGTATTTGGCATGATTCTATCCATCTGTTTGTACTTACTGGGGAGGAACATAATCATTGCTTGTGTAAGGGATTTCCGGCAAGACGAATTGCGAATAGAAGTGCGCATAGGAACGTCCGGAGAAGAGTGGTCGGTTGTGTGCATGCGCGCAGACATGCGCCATCGCGCACATGCACACGCACTGCGAAGATTGGCGCCAGATGCGCTATTTAAAGAGTGTCTCTGCCCATGTTAGTTGCTGACTGGTCTTCAGCTCCCCCGTGTCCTGCTTGTTCCGGTGTGATTCCTTTATTGATGACCCGGCTTGTTCCTGACCTGACTCTGATTGCTCTCCTGATTGATACTGGTTCCTGACTTCGGCTCTGCTCCTGACCTTGGCTTTCCTTCTGATTCTGTACCGTGCTGCCCGACTGTTGATGACCCTGGCTATCCCTATGACACTGCTCCTGTCTCTTACCCTCACTACCTGCCTTGTTCTGGTGCACGCCTGGCAATCTACAAGACCTGCTCTGCTTGTTACTACTGTGCCTGAATCAGAGGATCATCAGTCTTCCAAGGTCATCATCTGCAAGAGCTGCAAACAACAACTACTGGAGCTCTTGTCCCCCTGGTCCCTAGACTCCCTCTGTTCCAACTCCAGTGGGGTCAGGGCTAGTGACACAAGTAAGGCCGACCTCGTCATTTCAGTCTCCCATCAGGTACGTGACATCTTGTTACCTGCTGTCTGGCCAGATAAAGTGTAAAAAACACTGTGTAATGGAAATGATAAAGGTTTTGATCTACTGTATTTTAATTGTTTTTTTACACAAAGTGACCCTGTCACCACAAAACAACATGCATAAAATATCATACCTGTAAAAGAATGTGCAGTTTTCTTTGCGGCAGCCTATGTTTTGGAATTCCACCGCAATGCCTTTCTCCTGTAGTGATGTATAGGTAAATGAAAGGAAGGGAGAACGGACTAGGGAGGAAGAGTACAGATGTCCGGGAGTTGGTATGAGTTATTTTTATGTCTCTACTACTTTAGTGGTAGATTGTTAGAGCTCCAAAAGATAGTGGTCAAAGTACAGTGGTAGATAGTGTGCAATCCATGGGCTGGATATTTTCTGACATTTTGCGAGCTTAACTATGGGTTTAGCAGTAATTCTTTAATTAATCATTATCCGCATCACTTGGTTTTTAATTCATCCAAAGTTCAAGATTCTGGTTTTTCATGCTTCGTCAATAGCCTGCTTAAAGATGCAATGGAAGATAATTTGCCCAAAAAGATTCGATCAGCAGAGGTGCCATGTGCAAAGGACATGCTTGAAAACTCCATCTTTCAAAGTTAGATTTTTTTGGGGGTATAATATTTACATGAAAAACTGTCAATGTATTTTGTGGCAATGCAGTAGCCACCTATTTAGGTTTTCTTTTTTTGGATAAACTCCACATCTTTTCTGCTTATCCACTTCAAGTCCGGACACTTTCACCCCCTTCCAGTTCAAGCCAATTTTCAGCTTTCATATTTTGAATGACAATCATGCAGTCATGCAACACTGTACACATATGAACTTTTTGGCAATTTTTTGAGACAGATAGAGCTTTCTTTTGGTGATATTTATTCACCACTGGGATTTTTATTTTGTTGCTATATAAATGAAAAAGACCAAAAATTTAAAAAAAAAAGCGTTTTTCTTATAAAATTTTGCAAATAAATAATATTTCTTCATAAATCTTGGCCAAAATGTATTCATCTATCTTTTTTAGTAAAAAAAAAACCCAAATTAGTTAACACCAAAAATGATAATTTTTAAAAAAATGTGTTTACATTTTTATTTTATTTTTTTATATTATTATTTATTTTATTTTTTTTTACATACTGTCACCCTAGCAGTACAGTGTCACTATAGTGACATAGTACTACTTGTGGAGGGTGATGAATATTTTTTTTTCTTTTTTTACACTGATTGCTTTTAAACCCATAAAGGGCTTTCCTGCAGCCATTGAGAAATACTGTGCGAGCTGTGATTGGTCAAGTAGTAAGCAATGATGTCAGGAAGTGACATCTTGTTTACTACTGGTCATGTGATCACTGATTGGCCAATCAGTGATCACATGAATTGGGACCTCACTCAGAGGTCCTGTACAGTGATATGTGTTCTCCGGACACAGTGGGCACCGATCGCTATGCCAAATGCTCCCAGGGGGCGCGCACAGGCAATGGATGCGGGGGGATGTTTAGAAATGTCTACCTGCCATGACAGTGTTCCCGTCCCATTTATCGACTTGTGCTGGAAGGGAAGAGGTTAAACTAGAAGTCCACACTGATGATCGGTGCCCAGAAGTGCCACCCACCAGTTCCACCCACCTGTGCCCAGCAGTGCACCCTCCTGTACCCAGCAGTGCACCCACCTGTGCCACCCAGCAGTGCCACACACCTGTGCCCAGAAGTGCCACCTACCTGTGCCCAGCAGTGCCACACACCTGTGCCCACCCACCTGTGCCCACCAGTGCCACCCACCTGTGTCCACCAGTGCCACCCACCTGTGCCCACCAGTGCCACCAGTCAGTGCCCAGCGGTTGTGCCAGTCAGTGCCCAGCAGTTGCGCAAGTCAATGCCTAGCAGTGCGCCAGTCAGTGCCCAGCAGTGATGCCAGTCAGTGCCACCTATCAGTGCTGTCTATCAGTGGCACCTGTCAGTGCCTCCTATCCGTGACACCTCATTAGTGCTGCCTATCAGTGCCGCCTATCCGTGCCACCTCATTATGCCGCCTATCAGTGCCGCCCATCAGTGCTGCCTATCAGTGCCCATCAGTGCTGCCTATTAGTGCCTATCAGTGCTGTCTCATCACTGCACATCAGTGAAGGAGAAAAATTACCTGTTTGAAAAATTTTTAATATAGAAAAAAAGTAAATGCCCAGCGGCGATTAACTACCACCAAAAGAAAGCTCTATTTGTGAGAAACAAAAGATAAAAATTTCATATGGGTACAATCTTGCATGACCGCGCAATTGTCAATTAAAGTGCGACAGCGCTGAAAGCTGAAAATTGGCCTGGGCAGGAAGGGGCTATAAGTGCCCGGTAGGCAAGTGGTTAAAGAAACATTTCCATACTAAATAAAAGAAAATATGTACAAAATCTCTATGCATTCTTATGCTTTACCTGTCAGGTGTCAGATAGCTTCCATTGAAGAGAATGCAGCTGGAGTAGGATTTCTGCAGAAAGTACTGGACATGCCACATAGTGAATGTTGCACAGTAGGTACATTCTGTATATCAAATACACAAAGTACAGTTTTTCTTCAAAGTGCACATGCTACTGCATGTAAAATCATAAAGTACTGTCCCAAATTTGCAAACTATAATAAACAATGTTTCTGTTGAGTCCTGTTCAGTAATAAATTGTAAAACTTTTTCACTTGGGCTTGCTCTTGTCAAATAGTCAAATGTACTATTCAAGCTGAGTAAGAAAATAAAAGGATTGATTTACTATGGGCAAATTGTTCACTTTGCAAGGGAATTTGCCCCAGAGCTTAGTGAATTGGGTGAAGTCTCACTTTGCAAAAATACCCAATTACATGCAAGGAAAATAAATAAAAAACAGAATTTCCTATTTGCATTTAGTATGAACCCCATGGTGTTGCTGGCAGTAAAATCGCCACTGTGACAGGGCTTTAAAGCATCTTGGCATGCTCAGCTAAATTGATCATATGCAAGGTAGGTGTGTATATATATATATATATATATATATATATACAGTATATGGTATGATTTTTCCATCTCTGAGCATATTTTAAAGACACAAATTACTGGAACTCTGTATTCATTAATATATCATTAAATGTAATTTTTTAACCACTTGCCCTACAGAGGATTTACCCCCCTTCCTGACCAGACCATTTTTTGAGATACAATTGCGCGATCATGCAACGCTATACCCAAATGAAATTGACATCCTTTTTTCCCACAAGAAGAGCTTTCTTTAGGTGGTATTTAATCCCCACTCGGATTTTTATTTTTTGTGATATAAATGAAAAAAGACTGAAAATGTAGAAAAAAAATGTATATTCTGATATAAAACATATGTAATAAAAAATTTTTAAAAATCTAATTTCTTTATAAATTTAGGCCAAAATGTATTCAGCTACATATTTTTGGTAAAAAAAAGCCCAATAATTGAATATTGATTAGTTTGCACAAAAGTTATAGCGTTTACAAACTGTGGTACATACAGTCATGGCCGAAATTGTTGGCACCCTTGATATTTCTCCAGGAAATCATGTATTTCTCACGAAACGTATTGCATTAACACATGTTTTGCTATACACATGTTTATTCCCTTTGTGTGTATTGGGACAAAACAAAAAAAGGGAGGAAAGAAAGCAAATTCGACATAATGTCACACAAACCTCCAAAAATGGGCTGGACAAAAGTATTGGCACCCTTTCACAACTGCGGATAAATAAGAATGTTACAAGCATGTGATGCTCCTGTAAACTCACCTGGGGCAAGTAACAGGTGTGGGCAATATAGAAATCACACCTGAAAGCAGATAAAAAGGAGAGACGTTCACTTAACCTTTGCATTGTGTGTCTGTCTGTGCCACACTAAGCATGGACAACAGAAAGAGGAGACGAGAACTGTCTGAGGACCTGAGAACCAAAATTGTGGCAAAATATCAACAATCTCAAGGTTACAAGTCCATCTCCAGAGAACTAGATTTGCCTTTGTCCACAGTGCGCAACATTATCAAGAAGTTTGCAACCCATGGCACTGTAGCTAATCTCCCTGGTCGTGGACGGATGAGGAAAATTGATGAAAGATTGCAACGCAGAATAGTCCGGATGGTGGATAAGCAGCCCCAAACATGTTCCAAAGACATTCAAGCTGTCCTGCAGGCTCAGGGAGCATCAGTGTCAGCGCGAACTATCCGTCGACATTTAAATGAAATGAAACGCTATGGCAGGAGACCCAGGAGGACCCCACTGCTGACACAGAGACATAAAAAAGCAAGACTACAGTTTGCCAAAATGTACTTGAGTAAGCCAAAAGCCTTCTGGGAAAACGTCTTGTGGACAGATGAGACCAAGATAGAGCTTTTCGGTAAAGCACATCATTCTACTGTTTACCGAAAACGGAATGAGGCCTACAAAGAACAAAACACAGTACCTACGGTAAAATATGGTGGAGGTTCAATGATGTTTTGGGGTTGTTTTTTGCTGCCTCTGGCACTGGGTGCCTTGACTGTGTGCAAGGCATCATGAAATCTGAGGATTACCAAAGGATTTTGGGTCGCACTGTAGGGCCCAGTGTCAGAAAGCTGGGTTTGCGTCCAAGATCCTGGGTCTTCCAGCAGGACAATGACCCCCAAACATACGTCAAAAAGCACTCAGAAATGGATGGCAAAGAAGCGCTGGAGAGTTCTGAAGTGGCCAGCAATGAGCCCAGATCTAAATCCCATTGAACACCTGTGAGAGATCTTAAAATTGCTGTTGGGAAAAGGGTGTCCTTCCAATAAGAGAGACCTGGAGCTGTTTGCAAAGGAAGAGTGGTCCAAAATTCCGGGTGAGAGGTGTCAGAAGCTTATTGATGGTTATAGGAAGCGACTGATTTCAGTTATGTTTTCCAAAGGGTGTGCAACCAAATATTAAGTTAAGGGTGCCAATACTTTTGTCCAGCCCATTTTTTGGGGTTTTGTGTGACATTATGTCATATTTGCTTTTCTGCCTCTGTTTATATTTGTTCCAATACATACAAAGGGAATAAACATGTGTATAGCAAAACATGTGTTAATGCAATACCTTTTTTGTGTGAAATACTTGATTTTCAGGAAAAATATCAAGGGTGCCAACAATTTCGGCCATGACTGTATATGGAATTTAATTTTTATTTTTTATACTAGTAATGGCTGCGATCATAGCCGGACTGCAGTATTGAGGCAGACTTTTTTTACACTAAATTACACTGACACTTTGTGGGAACCAGTGACACTAATACAATGATTAGTGCTACAAATATACACTTATCACTGTACTAATGACACTGGTTGAGAAGCGTTTAACATCTAGGGTGATCGAAAGTGGCGGAAGTGCAAAATCACGTATACATACGTGATTTTGCACAGGAATGCTGCCCTGCAGCAGTAATACTGCTATAGGGCGGATGTTAAGTGGTTAAATGCAAGCAATGTATGTACCTAAATTTGACCCTTGTATCATGCTCTTCAGTCCCTGTAGTAGTTTGGCTGTTGTGTGAAAGGAAGAAGCAGTACAAGGAATCAATCGATTTGTGTGCTGAAAAGCATGCTGATAGAAAGAGAAAGCAGAGTGACAAAGAAATGAACGAGTCACTGTGCAGCTTCTTCTTTCACTGTACCATTACAGGCTGGGGCAACTTCAAGACAGCCTGAGCTCAGAATAGGTTGACTGATGCTGGCCAATGACCATCACACTAAAGACATCTAGTGGTAACAAAGTGCTGCAAAGGAAACCTCTGAATTGAAGCTGGTTTTGTTATTTTATCTTTCAATAGGCTATTGAGTTTTACCTTGTTATTTTGGGCTGTAGTTCAGCTCCCCCCAGAGAGGAGGATTGAACTCCTACAGATCCTGCGCCTCTCTAACGCAGTAGCAACACCTACTTGTCTCCACTTCCCCTGGTCTCAGCATTCAGCAGACTCTAGCAGCTGACTCCAGCTGTCCTCCTCCAGATCCTGAACTTTCTGCTTCCCCGCCAGAGCCAGTGCTACCACTAGGTGAACTAGACCAATGTTTCTCAACCTTTTTTCAGTCAAGGCACCCTTTAAAATTATGGACAGTCCCAAGGCACCTTTTTAAAATTATGGACAGTCTTGAGGCACCCCATTCTAAAATAGGGTGCCTCAAGACCGTCCATAATTTTAAAAAGGCACCCAATTCTAAAATGTGAAAAACTATTCTAATCATTTTATATAACGCAGCAACACCCACACATGTAGGACAACCCAACACTAGAGGTGATTTATTCTTCCAAAGCAAACACACTTTTGCACACTGGTACTGACTAGTATTCCAATGTTTCTCTTCTTCCTCAGTTTTTCTCCATCACTGAGCTAATGTGACCCCAGCGATGATGGAGAGGGGCAGGGGAGGGTCAAACTAGGATGCTGTGCAGGCACTGACATCCTCCTTATCAACTGATGATGTCATTGGTTGTCAGGATCCCAGAGAATAGAAGGTCATAATGGTGCAAAAGAAATTCTGTGGCTTTGTGTAACTAAAAGGCTGGCTTGTTCCACCCGCTGGTTTGTATACAAGTCTTGGGAAATTTGTAGACATATTGCCAAGGCACTCCTGAAGAAACCTCATGGTACCCCAGGGTGCCTGGGCATCCTGATTGAGAAAGACTGAACTAGACAGCCGCCTAAGTGCACACTGGGGCGCAGCCATGGCCGCTGGTTTCCCTACTCTCCTGCTTGCTTAGAATTGTATCACAATGTGTTTTTTTTACCTCTGGTTTATGTTCAGATTGCTTTTTTAACCTTAATTTAATTGAATTGTTGCAAAAAATGTGATGCTGGTATCTGTAGTCTGCCTAGCCGCTGCTTTGCCCATAGGTAGTTGGATACAGCAATGTGCTTCCAGGCCTCTAGAAGGAGCAGAGAGCCCCAAGCGCGTTGTCTGTCCTCCAAAGTGCTGGACCTTCCCCTTGTGATGTTACATCCGCCTCATGTGCGTTCTAAGATGGCCCAGGCACTTCTGGTTGTCCGGCAGTGTCCTGGCATCTCT